CAGAAACCATGGCACTGTACTCCATCCCAAACATGCTGGGCCTGGGACTATTTTGGTTCACAAATAAAAGGGTGGGAGCCTGGCTTTTGCTAGATGATTACAAGCTGTGCTTTGGTGGAAACCTAACCCGGCCTAAAAATACACAATATCAGGGAAACAATACAGCCGACAAAGCTCTGTCCCCGATTCTGCCAAGACATGAATATCGCTTCATGCAGTCGATGTGGCCAGATGAGGGGCGTGTGTTTGTGTGCATGTGTGATTGAGGTACCTTCATGTGAATGGGGAAACCAGATTTGCGAGGCGCTGGAGTGAGGTCCGCCCCGGAAGGAGGGTGAGGAGGGCGAGGAGGGCGGCCGGGAAGGGTGAGACGGATGGGAAGGGGGGGAACCCAGACTACTGGCCAGAAAGGTCCCCATGAAGGAGGCGGAGGAATTGCCCATCAATCCACTGCCTGCATGCCCACAGGGACAAAGGTAAGGAGAGAAAACATTGTTAGAATTAGAGGAGTGCATGTACACCGTGACTATGAGTGTGAATAAAGAAAACAAGTCAGATGTAAAGGTATGGAGCCCACTGGCTGTCTAGGTGGAATCACAAAGCAAAGCGGATTTGATCGCTGCCCCGGGGACAGGGTGAATGAGTGAGAGTGTGAGACTCTCCTCCCTCTCACTGACAGCAGAGTCCTCTCCCCTCGTCTCCTCTCCTCTCGCACAGCCTCTCCCCATGGGCAGACAGAGGTCTCATCTCACAGCTGAGTACACACTTTCTCAGGCTCTTTCCCTCTCGCTCTCACACACTTTTGCTCCTGCTCCCCAGTGTCCCTTTCTCAATTTCTCTCCCTCCCGCCATTATCTTATGCTCTCCATCTCTCACTTTCATGCCCTCAATCTCTCTTATTGCTCTGCTTCATTTCACCCCCCTCCCTCCCCCTCTGTCTCTCTTTCTTCTTTTCTCTCTGCATGACTCCGACAATCCTGTACTTTCTTTTGTTTCTATTTTCCTGTTTTGCTCCTTTTCCTTGTGCCCTCTGCTTTGTCACAGTGGCCCTTTCCTCTCTCCTCTTTCCCTCCTCTGTCCCATCATGATGAGCAGAAAGACACTATGTGCATGCCTCTTCCCAACCCTCATTGTCTCTTCTTTCCCTCCCCGTCCCCCTTTCTCTCTGACACATAGCATTTCTTTGCTTTGTTCTTTACCATAATGATGGCACCAGCAGAGCAATCTGTCCCTGGCTGGCTGAACTGTGTGTTTAACAAGACTATGATGAGTAATTGACCATTCGTAGCAACGCCCGAGTGACTGGGGGCTGATTGTCTATTATGCATTGCTGGGCAAGCTGGAGAAAACACACTGATTAACCACTGCTTAAATTGCATTCCCATTACGCGCTCGCCAGTGCACTTGAGTGAGGGGCCCGGGTGCTCCACTCTTTGCACATCCATTTCCCCCAAGTCACACTGCCGTGAAGTCTCATGCATATGTATGATGTCAGGATGAGAGCAGAACGTGCATATGCTTGCACAAACTCACACATTGGTGTATCATACATTGTGCGCACAGGGCTAGCTGGGAAAACGTTGGGGTGAGCAACATGGTAAAAAAAAAAATCATTATCAGCCCCTCATGACGAGTTGATCTCACAAGGAGCTCCAAATGATCTGATTTTCTTGAAGCATGAATCAGTCCAAACAGGAATCGATCCCTTTTCTGGGAGTGTGAGAACAATTGTGTGGAAGTCTTAATCAGCCAGGCGGTGAGAGTGCACATCCTCTAGCCAGACAGTAAGGATAAACCGATCAGTCTGCCGCTCGCTCCTGCACCGAATAGCCTATGGCTCATGGGCCAGAGCACAGGCACACACAAATACACTCACACACACACAAATAGGCATGGGCACGTATTATTGCACACATACAGACCTCTGTCACACTTTTCACCCTAGACCGGTGGAAATCCCCCACAATCCCCAACCTCACACTACCTTGAAATCTACCTTAAAACCCACCCTGTGTGTGTGTGTGTGTGTGTGTGTGTGTGTGTGTGTGTGTGTGTGTGTGTGTGTGTGTGACGCGTGTCACAAACTCACAAAAAAGCCGTCTCCTAAACAGTGTTTGACTAGCACATTCGACACTGCACAAAAACTCAAAAATGGCAAGTAAGACTTTAAATAGCTTAAGGAGGCAGCAATAGGAATGGGTGCCATAGCAACATTAAACATGCCGGTGGGAGGTAGCCTGATGGCATACTACAGTATCCATGCTTTTCTCCTTTTCCTCCTCCGCTGCCACCTCCCATCACCCCTGACCCTGCAGAGCACTTCTGGCAGAGCTCTGTGGAGTGCAGGGTGGGGTTTGGGGGCAGTGGGGGGTGGATTTATGCCAGCGTGCTCGCTAGGCACACATCCAGCCCCCCGTCATCCAGACACCCAGGGCTCCCTGTATAGCACCGCCCTCAACATTGCACACACCTCGGCCCTCTCTGTCGCCTTCAGGATCCCCAGCTTTCCTCAGCGCCTCCGGCTCACATAAATCAGCTAATCCTCCTGCATTATTAACAGCCTCGCCCCAGAGAGAGAGAGAAAGGGTGAGAGCGACAGAGAGAGGCCGTGAAGCCCCTCTTCACACACCAAGAGAGGAGAGAGCCTCTGCCAGAAAGACAAGGAGAGAAAAGGGACAATACATAAAAAGGGGATGTCTAGATGTTAGGCAAGGGGATCTTCGAAGTTTAAGCTGATGTTAGGGGAGAAGGGGATTGAAGGAAAACCTTAGGAGGGTCTTGGATCAACTCATACACAACCAGATCAGACCTATAAGTTTGGCCATAGGGTCTCCTACTGGGAAAATCTGAACTGTAGAAGTACAGAATAATACTGCAGCAGCCTTCTCCACTGTCACACTTGCTGACTCCACAGCTTGTCACTCAGTGAATGACCCCTACCTCTGCGTTGTGTCTGCTGTTTGCCTCCTGCTGAGAAACTTACAGTGCATGGTGCTTGGCAACAATGTCTTTCTCGTGCAGTTTCTCAAGCATTCTCATATCACTGTTACATCTAAGGACATTATCAACGCTCAAGCTGTTTTAATATGATGCCCTGCCTAAACTCATTCAAAGCCTAATGAATCAGAGGTGTCGGTGAGAAAGCACACAGGTTATTAAAGCGGGCTGGTCCGCTATGGTGTCGGGGCAGGTCCAGTTTAGGTACCAACCAAAGCAGTGCAGAACAAGCGAAGCAAAGGTCCGAGGCGTGGCAGCATTTGTCCTGGACTCACCGTAACTGTTTATTGAGCAGCTTTTTTAAATGAAGACATGGATCCAGGGAGCCTGCTACGGCTAAGCCAGCTCCTTGTAAAAGTTGTTTCCTCTGCCTGCATTTTGTTTTTGACCCTGTTTATTTATTTCTCCGGTTCTTAAGTGGTGCCAGCAGTGCACTTGTATGGGTTCTTAAGAAAATCGGTTCATGTGCATCCTAATCAGCGCCGATCCCTGACAGCGATGACGATTAATCCTATTAGAGAATTAAAGGAGAGGGGAGCATTGGGATGGGGGAACCCCACCTCCCTCTCTGACATCGAAACATCCCACCCTGACACCCTCACTAGCACAGTTGCGTTCAAACGGGTTCGACTGTACAAACACAGAAAACACACAAATATCCAAGAACCTCTGGAGGTGGACGTGTTAAGTGCTACTCCACCCACACTCCATCGTGGGTGGAGTAGGGTGAGGGAGTCCAGTTGGTACGCAACAACCAAAGCACATGCATGCACACACAGTAATGTGGGCCCGGGCAGAGGCCCTCGTGCACGGCACAGAGTGAGCAGCAGGCGGGGGGGCGGAGCAGTGAGAATTGAAGGCCCAGTTGTCATGGGAACGAACGAGAAACAGCGCTTGAGGCAGGGAGGGAGGGAGGGTAGCCATTACGGCAGCAGTGGGCAGATGCAGTTGGTCAGTGTGCTGCTCAGCAACAACAGCCTCTCCAACCTACCTTGAAACCTCACCAAACCTGTGCAGCTCATAAACACACACACACCTCTCCACAAATTAATCTGTTTTCAATTGTTAGGCTGCGGGGAGGGAGGTGTCAGAATCTTTGCCCCTACTCATTATTGTAACTCAAGGGTGAGTTGTTTGGTGTCTTAACAAGGAGTTATACAATAATAGGATGTAAAGGGATTCCTGTGGGCCAAGCAGTGATGGAAAAAAAAAAAGCTGATAAGACAACAAGCACCCACTGACAACACGTTGTTCTTTTGCATGCTGGGAATCAGATCAAAATTTCCTCCTGGGGAAATACACACCAATACACTGTGTGCTTGGACAAGCTAGATCACGAATCAAATGCACACACACACACACACACACACACACACACACAAAAGCGCAGATCTACTATTGTCTAAGAGAAGATAAAGTACAATTATTTCACTCTGCATCACATTTCCCCGTTTGCTCTTGAAAAATGAGCCCGAGTAGTCTGCAGCCCTTCGTCTTGTCTGCAGACGGCAGCCTGAAGGGACGGATGGACGTGTCGTCTAGACAAGGACAGCAGACAGGCAGCGAAAGATGAGAGTGATGGTGACAAGAGAAGAAGAGAAAATTGCAGGTCCGACTGCTTCAACCTGTTCTCCACAGCTCAGTGATCAGCCAGTGCCAGAGAGGGGAGGATAGAAGGATAATAGAATGCCAGGAGATAGAAAAAACACACACACCCACACTAACACACACTTACACACAGAAATTCAGTGAGCACAAGCCAAATTAGGTTGCACCGTCAGCGGTCAGTGCCATGTGTAGCTCTACACAATGCACCCTGAACAATCACAGCTCATATACTCTCCCTCTGACAAAACACCCCCCCCCCCACCTTTCTTCTGGTCTTAAATAAATCAAATCATTATCAACAAGAGTTGAGAGATGATCAAAAAGAAAACCAGAAACCTTTTCTTTTCCAAGAGCTTCTTAACATCCAGCAGCTAGTTGAAGTAGCTGTTGCTGGCACTGCTTTAACTGACTAGTTTTACTGTTAGAATGGGATTTGTGATTTCTGACAAGTTCTTTATGTGGCCTGGTTTGGCTCTTTAACACTCGAGTAGGAAAGAAGCTGAAAGCGGTGAGTCGAGACTGAAGACGGAGGCGATGAAGAGACAGACATTTCAAAGTTAACTTACCAAGCGAAAACATATTGAGCAGTATGCGTCTTTCTCAGACTTTCCTACCGATGTAATTCCATGTTCTGCCCAAGAATTCAGACGCCCGAGAAGACGCCAGCCAGACTTTCCACGTACATATATTCACTCATGAGCCTCTGTAGCAACGCGGGGAAACTGGAATGGTTTGGGCAACTGTACACACCGGCAGCCCCAGACAGACTGCACACACTACCCTGGAGAGCCGCTGACTAACCCAGCGCCTACTTCCTCACAATAAAACACAGAAGGAATTTCAAATGGCTACTAAAGAGGGGGGATTTCCTTCAAACAGTCAAAGTCATCTTGAAAACATTAGCGCAACTGGTAGCCAAATTCCTCCTCCTACAAACAACTGTAGCAGGAGGTTGTTTTTTTTGTTGTTGTTGTAGTTTGTTGTTGTTTGCCCCCCCTGCTTTACAAACTCCCTCCCTGACTTTAGGCATACTGAAGTGAGAGAGACAGAGCGAGCAGGCGGTCCAGTCCTGGAGCTGGGCCCAGTGCAGAGGTGGGGGAAAGTGCCAGCAGCGCACGCCTCCGACACTCTCCACACTGCGTGCCTGTGGAGTGAGTTTAGTGGATGTGGTCAGTGCGGGGGTGGGAGAAGTGGAAAGGGAGCGGGAGAAGCAGTTAGAAGAATGGATGGAGGAAGAGAGTGAGAACGTGCGACAGGGCAACATCCAGAGGAGGGGTAAGGGGCGAGAGTTTAGACTAGAAGTGTAGATAAGGGTGTGAGGAGAACTGTGAGAAACTTTGAGAGTGAAAGAGCACCAGAGAGTGTGTGGGAGTGTGTGTCGCCGAGCATATGCGTGCCTCCATGTGTGCGATTGTGTGTGCGTATGGTGGTCGTCTCGCTGAAAGTTGACAGCCGGTGTTTGTAGAGTGGCTTTGTGGTCAGCCACTTGCTTGCGATTGAAGCGATGGTGGGGTAAGATGGATTTTTTTCGTGAGTACTATGCAAATAAAATTGGCGCGGGGAGGTCAGCCAAAGCATCCCGCGCACTTCACCCAGCTGTTTATACTATACAAGTTGACATGATGGGGATAAGAGATTCTAATCCTAAACAAATTAGTCCAACTGGCTCATCCTGGCTTGGCAGGGAGCCTGAAAACAACAATGGATCCACACAGGCTGTGACAGAGAAAACAGATCGGAGAAAACGTCTCCGAGGTATAGTTTGTTCTAGGAGGGGTGGAGTGATGTCAAAGAACATGCACACATCCCACCAATATGTTTCCCTCCATCGATTCTCCTTCTCGCCCTCCTTCACTATTTGTAGAGCCAGAAATGTGTGCCCCTATCTGGCCGGCCTCCTCAAGCGGTATTCCACCTCAATTTGACTGCAATTAATCATTTATAAAAAGGCTCCTTTTCAGAGAGGGTAATCAATGCAAAAAAAAGGGGTTTCACCTCTAATCCCAGCACTCCTATGCCAACAGTAGTGTAGAAAAGGGCAGTGGGTAGCTGACAGGAAGAGATAGCAACGTCTGGAACAGTTCCTGCTGAAGAGGTGTTTTATGAGCACAGTAAATAAAGAGCTGGACACTCGGCACCGGTGCAGCTATTTGCAGAGGAGCAGACCAGGAAGTGTGTTGTTTAAGAACTCCAATTGTCAAAGTAAGAGCTGGCTCAGGGGTGAAGGCTACAGGGTTCGAAGAAGCTGAGGTATATGGGTGAAGAGGTTAAGGGTAAAGCACAGGGCAGGATATGTGATGATGTCTCTGACGGACTACAAAGAAACTGGACAAAGAGCAGCTGGACATGCGTGTTTGGACAAAAGCTAAAAGGTTAAGATAGGGTCTGTAAGGTTTGGGCTTGTCACTCGGACCTGTGTTTAGGTGGGTTCGCTGTGATCCGTGTGAAAGTGCAGAAGTGTGCTGAGTCACTATAGCCTCATCTGTGCAGACCAAGCAGACATTCCAGGCCGGGACACAGGAGGTGGGAGGACAGATTCGAAACAGCAGCAGGACCAGGCCAGGACAAATGAGTTCAAGGCCCATTACCTTCCTTTTACACCCACCCACACATGCGCAATCACATTCCCTACTCCCATAACACAGATTTAATAGCATTCACAAGAAAAGCTATGTCACAACACAAAATCGCCAAACTCTGCTTTCAATTTCTCCTCCGAGAACTTAAATGTTCATGGCGTAACAAGAAGTGCGTATTACACCAGGCCAAGAGTGTTTTCTCTCCAAGCAACAAGGCGTTATTTCAATCAGCATTATACTTTATTGAACCCTCCTCCATGCTACCTAATAAAGCAATTGTGTTATTTGTGTCTTGGTTCAAATTAAATGCAAGTGTTTCTTATGGAATGGCCCGGTATTTTGCTGAGCCCTTGCAGGGCAAGCAGCATTTTATTCTTTGTATACAGGGCAGCTACACACTCCTCAAGGAGAACCATTTGTTATCTGTCCAAACTTTGGCAAGGGTGCTTGTTAACTGACCCATTGTTACATGAGGGTGTTTCAGGGCCGTTTGCTGCGTTCCAGCTCTTTATTCTTGAGGCATGAAATTGTGATTACCATAGTGGGCCTCATCCATCTCAAGCTCTCTTCCACACACGCACACTAAATATCCACATTTGTATTTTGCCTTCTCTCTTTCACTTCTGGTTGTCTCTGTCACTATGATACACACACGTTACACACACACATAAAAAGAGCCGCCCACAGCTGCGTCAGGCCGTCTCTCTAACAATCCAATCTGTTTTCTTTCCCATGATGTTTCCCATTGGCACAGGGAGGAGAAAATCAGATTTACTCCCCCGCAGGGCCCATGCAGTTGCACTGATATGGAAAATGATTTCAGTGCCGCTTGAGCCCATAAACATTATTTTGGTCTCCCCTGTTAATGACACATTTCTTCCCAGCATTGTGGATCTCACAGAGGAAGAGATGGGTGTAAAGGGGGGGTTTAGAAAGAAGGGAAAAGGAGGAAGAGAGAAAGGGGGGAGGAATCCTCCAGGGCCTCACATACAACAGGGGAGTCCTTCACCCCTCAAACTGCATCCTGACATCTACAGCCTTTTCTCACCCTCTTCCTCTTACACACACATGTTGAAACACACACACACACACACACACACACACACACACACACACAGCTAATCAACCATGCAGGAACTTAAATAGTCACAGCCTTCATAAAAGCCCCCAAAAAAAATCACAGTACAAATATATCCCTGCTGGAAAACGAGCAGAGTCAAAGAGGGATTTCTCGCCTCTCTCTCTCTATAGCTGTCAGACTGATTCCAAACACACTGCATTTGGCTCCAGGGCTCAAAGCAGCCCCACTACAATTGTGTCATACAGCACACATATCTTTTATTGGTGGTAGCAGCCAATATAGCAACCAAACCCCCTCCTCCTCTTGAACACAGGGATACAATTTGTACTTTTAGTGGTAAGTTACAGACACCCTCTGCCCGAGGCACATTGTCAACGAGAGGAGCGCGCTGTAGCCTCGAGTCCTAAACGCAAGTCATTTAATATAATGGCGTTAAAAGGAGACTCCAACAGGCCAATAGCGAGACACTAAACCTCCCATTTGGCATCCATTAATAACCATCTGCGGGACCAAACAAGAGGGGGCGAAAACAGGAAACGGCCATGTTAGGTTGGATTAGAAACTGTCCTCAACTTTTGAATAATCTCTCACAGGTCTCTCAATCTTCACATCCAAAAATGGGGTTTTCATGGTTCTCCTGTTCCACTGGAAACATCAAGTGGACTGCTCAGGATCTGGTTTGTTTTACTGCTGATGACTGATCTGTCTAAATCCATCGGTTTTATGTTCTGGCCAAGGGGATGGATGGGTGACTAACGGCGGCTTGCGTGCCATGTTTCAGCCGACGCAGCCAAAGCTCAGCCAGCCAGGTCACGGACACAGACATGCCTGGTAGTGGGGAAAAAGGCAGATTAAAACAAGTGCTCAGCAATATTCTCTCTAATTAGTCCCCTGTTAACTTTTGAACTTAATTGGTTAATTGAGATGTGGTTAGACTGGGCAGGTTTCCCCTCCCTCAGGGTGACCATGCGGCTCCAGTGTTTCAGCCTGGCACTGCCTGGCACAGGAGGTGGCTGCCTCTCTCTCTCTCTCTCAAACTCTCTTTTTCTTTTTCATTTCTTGTATCCCACCTCTCCAGTGACGAGGAGTAATGATGCCGCACAGGAGGCAGTAAAACAGTGTTTTGCGAGTGCGTTTTCGCAGAGATTGTGCCTATGCACTGCACATATGCTTGTGCCACATCAAAGCAGCTCTTTGACTACCTGGTCCTGGGTGGTCTAAACCTCTATTTTCTCTACCAGCAGCGCTAGATAGATAGGCTTCGGAAAAGTGGAGTGTGGATGTGGGTGGATGTTACCTCACCACAGGCAAGTCAGTTTGCTTTGGAGGAGACATGAACAGCGCGAGGATGGAGAATAAATGTGCGGTGCGTTACATACACAGATAAACACACACAAAACCCCATAGGCGGCACATTGCTCGAGTCTCCCCATCTCCTCTGGTTGATGTATAAGGATACCCACAACACCACATAAATCTGCAGGCAGCTCGACTCATTGGGGCAGATTTTGCCTGCCGTCTTCCTTTTTCACTTTCATCCCCTCTTCTCCCTTTGCTCCTTTGAGCCCCATCACTCATTCCTCTTTTCCCTTTCCGTCCTAACACCCTCTCCATCATCCCTCCATCACTCCCTCTCCTTCCCCCTGCTGTCCTTCTGTCCTCCCTCATCACCTCGCTCTCTTTCTTCAGTTGCCGTCATCCGTATGCTTCAAAACGGAAACACTTTCTCTTCATTTTTGGGTTTTTAAAAAAAAAAAAAAAAACGCTTTCCCTCCCACTCCTTCGTCGCACTTGTGCTCCGTTTCTCAGCTCTTGTTTGTCCATCAGTTTTTCTGAGGCCTGGGAGGGAGATGAACGTCTTGTTTTATGGGGAGTCAGAGGTTCACCCCTCCCTCCGTCAGAACCGCCCATAAATCAGCATCCCAGCATTCAACTGGCAACCAGGGCTCGTCGGAATGTCCCGTTCTCCCGTCCGCCCTCTTCCATCTGTGGCCCGGGCGCCTCCTTTAGGTCATGGAGAGCAGTGCTGGACACGAGGGCCCTTGTTACAGAGACTGCTTTGCTGCGGTCCTCTGAGTTCTCTTAGATTGGCCTGTAATATGATAAAGTCCTGGAGTGATGTGTGTGAGAGAAACAGAAGGCAGCTCCCTGCTCTGGCTTCTCTCCGTCTGATGTAGCCTGTCAGGGGCGCGGAGACAGAACAGTGCAGATAACGGAGCAGAGAGCCGCCGCACCAGCCAGCCAGCCCAAGGTCTTCCTGCAGCCCTGAATATAATTTGCTGCTGGTTCACAAGGGGAACAAAGGAGAAATGTGTAATTCTTGTAGCGTTAGCCAAGACAAATGCAAGCATTTTTGTTCTGATAACCTAAAAACAAGGGGATGGATGGCACCTGGGTAGCCAAGGCCAAACAATATACAGTATTACCTTGTTAAGAAGACACTGTATAATACGCGTGCATCTCCTTGACTTCTGTGGTTGCAAAGCTTCTTAGCCAGAAGGACAATACTCCAGTTGGCCCATACAGATTTTCCACTGTAGCAGCCTACATTGTCTAGCGTGTGCAAGGCCAGCCATATCACACAGTGCAAATTCTTTGTGAAATACATCTGACAAACTGAGCCTAAAGACGAGATATATCTCCCGACTGCCGACACCGGTCATCCATGGAATGCCAGGCCTGCTCAACATCTGCAGCATCACACTTGAGTGGAGATGAGTAAAATTAGGAGCATTTCCTGCAATCTGTGCAGAGAAGAGAAGGTCATCCTCACCCGAACATGAGCAGATGAAGTGTAACATAGAGCAGGGCGGCCATAAAATGCCTCTCCTCTCCCTTCTCCAGCTGGTCAGCTTGATGTAGTCTTTAACAGCTAGGAGTAGGAAAGGCACAATCCAAGGTCAAACCAGGGAGACGGAAGGGAGGGATATCATCTTGATCAACTGCTCATGGTTTGTCTTGTCTGGTTGGTTGGCTGCACAGCCACCATTGCTGTCATCTATCTCCTTTGCGGTGATCACATCTAGTCTGCTGGACAGGTGGGCGGGCTGGACGGTCACGTGTCATTCTCCCCCTCGCTCTGTATTTGTCTGCAGGTCGTATTCAGAAATGGCACAGAGGAGGAGGGAGGCCTTGTGGGGCTACAGAAGGCCTGCAGCATCTGATCAAAGTTAACAGATGTGCTGCAGCTGCTCGTTTTGTTTGACATAGCACATCCTCAAGCACACAGATGCACACCCACTGAAAAGGCACGCAAAAATGCCCCTACACGTGATAGCAGGATAGAAAATAAAATCATATATTTTCTGACTGCTCAATAGAACTACTGGCAGTGTTTTGGTCTCAAATAAAAACCCTCCATCCCAGAGTAACCAATAAACCGACTTTGATCAGTGTGCCTATGAGTCCATATGTTGGCTTTTCTTATTTTTCTTAAATATACACTTCTGCTCTGCTTGGCCATAAAACATGTCAGCACATACGCATTGGGCCAGAAAGCCGCAAGGTATGTGGCGAGCCTGACCAGGGAAATGATTTGGGGAAACCGTGGAAGGAAGACGGCGAGTCATGGTCGCAGAGTTAAAGGGGAAGAAGCATGAGCGAGAGGTAGCGCAGAGAAACCTCAGCTGTGTCCTCGTATCCACAGGGGAGCAACAGCTTTCAGCAGGGTATCACGACGCCAGTGTGAGCCAAGCTCAAACTAGACCTTGCAAAGGCCATAATGGAGAGGAAGGGGGAGGTGGGGGAAGACAGGGAATGAGAATAAAGAAGAGTTATTAGGGTGATGTGAGGCAATGAGGGGAAGAGGGCCTACTGAAATGTTTTGACACAGAAAAATAGCAAATGGAACACAGGTACTTAAACAACGGTTTGAAAAGCAAACTAGCACAATTTTTTTTCCTCTCCCCTTTCTTTCTCTCTGCTCAGCTTTACACACATACAGACAAGTGATAGCTGCAGCCGCAACTTCCGCAAAGTGCTCGACGACAGAGCTGGCCTCATGACTGTCAGGCCGGCCTTCATTCTTTGCCAGGTTGAGCAGCACGAGCAGAGTCCAGGTCCTTCACCCAGATTACTGAGATCCTAAACACCCCATTATTTTCATGAGCTCACATGAACACCAGGCAGTCTGGTAGCATGAACAGCCCACGCTGGGGCCGCAACTTGATTACACTTCTGCTGCACAGGCCTGCTTTATCGGATATACATTGTTTTGTGCCGTATTGATGTCGGCATCAGCATCAGCCTTCACTTGTAGTGCCATGCGACACATTCCCTCACAGCCAGTGTGTGTGTGTGTGTGTTGGAGAGTGTGGTTTCTATCTTCTTACTGTATTTGTTCTGGCACAGTGTTCTATTGTGGGGCTTGGCTTTGCGCTCCTCAGATAAGAGAGCAGTTATGTCAACACTGGGTGCTGTGAAGGAGCCGCCTGGTCGTGTTGACTTAATGCAACACTGCTTATTTACTCTGACCACAGACTTCAGCCATCATCTATAGCCTCTAATGCACTAATGACCAAGGGCCTCCTGGGGTGGAGCCCCCTCCTGCCTTGGCCCAGTACTGGCCCTTTCAGCTTGTCAGGTGAGAAGAAAGATGGGGTTGGGAATAACTAATGGCTTTGAAAAGTTTAAAGCAGACTGCCAGCAGATTCTGAAAAAAAAAGGTTGACGAATGCTTCTCACAATATACAAAAGCCCTTGCAGATGCAGGCAGCATGAGTCTGCATATTGAGCTGAGCTGAGCAGCCCTATCAGTAAAGAGCCAGTGGAGCAGGCCATGCATAATTATGGGAGGGGGAGGGGGTTAATTGACTTCTTTGAGAAAGATCCTGATTTCTATCAGCCTGTACCGCAATCATGTGAGCCCGGGCTCTCATTAAGCCCCCTCCCTCATTTATCTCTCTTCCCCTCTAACCCTGTACCCTCTCCTCTCTCCTCCCCTGCTTTGAAAAAGGGTGAACCCCCTCCCCAACTGCTCCTGCTGAGTCCTCAGCGGGCCAGGAAAGGGTGAGGCAGATTTATAGCTATAGCATCTGACTGAGTAAGGTGCACACTGGCACATAAACACATGATGAGTGCACATTCGCACACACAGTAAGGGCTCCAGACTGCAGTTGACCTGACTGGGGCCCCAGTGCGGTAATGTACAGGCTAGCAGGTATTAGCAGCAAGCCTGTGTGTCCCTGTGGCCAGAAATGTTCTCCACACACACACACAAAAATTCAGACAATGTTTTTACCAGTCGCGACGACGACACTGGTTATTGTTTTTACCTTGTGAGTCATCATAGCAAAATATGGTCCTGGAGACGCCTACTTAGTTGTACTATCACAGAAGCGGTTTTGAGTACTTTGCCAGGTGTTTGTATGTCTGTGGAGAGATGTTGTCACCGCTGTAGCGTCGTATCCGTGCAAGATGCTGTCACAAAGCTCTGCGACCTAACTGAAGGCCGAGTGTGGGAGTCAGTCCGAGCAAGGCCGGCAGAAGTATTGCCCCCCCCCCCCCCTGCAAAATGGTCTGTAGTTGTTTTTCCTGTTTCCTCCAATAATGCTCAAACCACAGTACAGTGGGAACAGCATCATAACAAGTGCTTTGAATTATTTACAGGCAGAAAGTATACACGGCCTAATGACCAGCATCCTTAGCACAAACAAAATACATTACGCTGGCATGTCAACACCTGCGACCATTTGCTAAAACATATCCACTAAGACAACCATTTTGTTCAACATGGTTTTTTAACCAGATACGGAAAGAAAGCAGCGTTTCCTTTTCTCTTCTCCTTCCTCTACGTTCTCTGGAAGCAGTGGAAGTTTGGGGTAAAGCAGAATTCCATCGAGAGACAGAGATAGAGAGTGAAAAAAGAGAAAAAAAAGGATGACGTGGAGAAAAGAGATGAAAAGTGACAAAAGGGAGATTTCCTTCACGAGCTCATAAATCAGTTGACGCGGGCAGGGGCAGTATGAGGCCTCCCTCAAAAAGTCAAATTTTTTGTTTCCTTTCACAGCCAGCGCTAACCACCCCTTCTCCCTTCACATGCACGCAAACACACACCTACACAAACATATGTGCATTATCACACACGCAAACACACAAGAACGCACACCGTCTCCCAGATGGTGTGTGCTGGAATGGCATCCCCACTGCGCTCCCCCAATCTGGTTGTGGCACAGCGGCCTGCCTGACTGGCACAGAAACACGTCTCGTAAAATCACTTACAGTTAGGAGTGGTGCGGGCTTCAAAGCGGCGCGCCTTCAAACCAGCCCCGTTAAAGGGCCCAAGCATGCGTGCTGAAATAAATCCTGCTCATTCTGTCACATAAAAACACGCAGGGGGAGGGAGGGCTGGGTGGTACAGCTGGTGCTACAGGTAAGCGGGACAGACAGACGACAGAAGACGAGGGAAATGATCTCTTCAGAGCGTTTGCTTTACGCACACAGCAGGGTGCCGCACGCTGGGTGAAGATGTCATAGAGCAGAGCGCAGTGGCACCCCGCTGGGTTTGGAGGTATCTGCTGAGTTGCTAGGGTGCAAAAGGAGCGAGCAATGGGGGCAACAAGGCAGCCCTTGTTGAGCTCCGGTGTTTGTTTTAACGGAAATGTGGGACGTTGTTATTGATTCAAAAGCGCTGCTGCTAGACTAGACATATGTGGGGCTGTGGAGGGAGGGAAGGCAGCGACTGCGCCCTTGTTGGGGATCGGAGGAGGCTCAGTCCGGGCTGAGAAACTTGAGCCCCGTGCTGGACGGTCCCAGAGACTGGCGAATTGATGGAGATCCAAAAGGACTTAGGATCTGCTTTCATTCTGAATGTTCACCATCTGCTTGGCTGGAAAGAGAAGCCACGGAGCAGGAGAAAACTCTGTCAACTGACAGATGAGACAGTGAGCTTTAAAGGGTGTGTATGTGTGTGTGTGTGTGTGGGTGTGTACACGTGTGTACGTGGGTGTACTTGTGTACTGGTGCGTACTTGTGTACTTGTGCAGACAGTGTGTCAGTATTGATCCTCAAAGCAGCTCCACTTTCTGAAAGGAGATCTGTCAGATGGGGATACACACATTTACACACACATACACCACCAGCCCACCAAAAAATAAATAAATAAAACGCTTTAATTCATTCCGGACCTCATCTCTAAAATAACAGACATCTGCAGCATCACATGTTCCAGTATGTCAGACAATTCTCTCCCTCCCACTCTGCTGCATAGTTTACTCCACCTCCACCATTCCAGTGGTATTGATCCATCCAGTTTCCATGTGTACAGACGACTCTGGTCTGCTAAGGCCCCGTTACCAAGGATGACCACTTCTCTCCTCATACTTCACTGGTCTGTCACACATTAGCCGGACCTTCCACATCACCAAAAATAAACTGAACAGACGTCCCGTTTTGTTTCCGCACAGAAATCCACATGTGCACAGCCACGTCCTCTTCCGATCCCTAGCTACCACGGTCTACTGCTGTCCTCCAAAACGACCCCTGCATGAAAATGCCTCGTGTAGGTTTCTCGTGAAATCTCCCCGAGCAGTCATTCAGCCTTTATGTGACCCATGACTAAACCAGGAAGTAATCAGCAGAGATGCACAACAAAATTCCCGTTTCTGTGTTCAAAGTTCTCTCTCTTGCCACATGACCCCACACAAACCGCAACGTTGTCTGTATTCCTTCTGTCTAGTTAAAAGAGATATAACGCAGGCCTAAGGGCCGATGAAGAAGATAACTGTCATCCCAGATGCTGGGAATGCAAACTGATTAACAGTACTTGCCGGCAAAAAGCGTAAACCGCACCTTCTCGCAAACGTGGGCGTCTGCACACCTGAGAACAAGCTGTTCCACGAGCAAAAGAGTGAGCAATTAAAATTATGAGGCAAAAAATTAACACAGCTCATTAAAATTCTTACCTGATTACTTATGCAACAGATTTACAGAATAATTCTGTATAAATCCATCTGTGTGTGTTATTATTCCGATTACTGTCACAGATAAATCGGCTAATCTACCCTGTAATTGAAGCAGGTGGATTTACTGCATCCACCAACAGCCCCTTGCAGAAGTGGAGAAGACAGAGATGGATGGAATATAAAAAGCCCAGGGCTGAGGTAGAATTAGGCACCTGCATCAGCCCCCCATCCACCCCCACATGCTGCCCTCTCAGCTGCCTGCCACTCCGTTTCCTCTCTCACTCCTTTTATTCAATCTCTCCACCACACAGCTCCTTTGATTGCTCTTTCCCGTGGGCACACGCGCACACACACACACAAATACAACACATACGTACACAAAAGCTCAAGCGCACAAAACACACACTTCTTCTGTACTGTTCAGAGACAGTTGCGCCAGCTGAGTTTTGATTTGGAAAGAAAAGTTGCCTCCGCTACAAATAACGACAGGCACTCGAAAAACAAGCAGAGCTCAGTTATCACACGGCAAACACACACACACGCGTGTAAGCAAAATGTATAACTCACAAACACATGGAAGAAGCACAGGAAACCACTCTTAAAGGCAAGTTTAATCACAGATACACAGAGGCAGCCACCCACACTTAGCAAACACACACATGTGCGTCCACACACCCTCCCATTACGCTGTATAACCAAAAGGCATTCAGCCATTTAAGCAGCATTCTGAGTTTCAGCCAAGTGAGAGGTATGTCAGTGCATTAGCCAGCATGTAATCATAGCCCATCCTCACTGCAATTAGAAGTGGTTCTAATTCTTCGCTGGAAACACTGCCTTCTCCCACGGCTAATAGTTTACTTTACTCCAACAGCTGACAGACCCAACCCTGCATCCTGCTTTTGCTTCCTAAACACACACACACACACACACACACACACACACACACACACACACACA